CAAAACATGTCCTTGGTCAGCTTGGTCAACTCGGTCAACCATGGCCCAATACCCACCCCCTTGTGGATTTTGGGCTCTTCCAAAACATGTCCTTGGTCAACTCGGTCAACCATGGCCCAATTCCCACCCCCTTGTGGATTTTGGGCTCTTCCAAAACATGTCCTTGGTCAACTCGGTCAACTTGGTCAACCACAGCCCCAATCCCCACCCCTCTCCTGGATTTTGGGCTCCCCCACCCCCCTTGGCCAACGTCTCCCCCTCACTGGACTCACCGGCCCCGAGGCCGCGTCTCCGGTGGGACTCGGCGAAGGCGGTGATCCGCGGCCAACTGATGGCGATTTCCTCGGCTGGGGGGGACATTTGGACACCGATTTTAGGTCTTTTCACCCCAAAAAAATCCCCAACCCCACCAGGGCCATCAGTGGCTGCATTCCCGCTTTTCCCAGACTCGATTTTGGTGGATTTCGGGGGGGGTTGGTGGTTTTCCACCGTCATTAATTCACCTGCCAATTAAATCCCGCTCGTGGAATTTCATTCATCGGAAAAGATCCGAAATTAGGGAGAAACGAAGGGATTCGGGAGCCTCACCCAAGGAAATGACGCTCTCGTAGCTCTCCTGCATCTTATCCCGGTTTTCCGAGCTCGTCCCGGTGCCGACGGGTTCTTTGGGAAGAGATTCCCCCCCAATCCCTGAAATTCCAACAGCTCCAGGTTAGGATCTGGGGGCCACAAAGGGGGGGGACCCCAAAACTGGGGTACAGCTCGACCCCCCCTAAGGATTTTTGGGAAGGGATTCCCCCTTAATTCCTAATTTTCCCCCTCTAATTTTCCCCCTTAATCCCTGTTTCCCCCCCAGTTCCTAATTTTTCACCCTTGATCCCAAATTCCTCCCCCTTAATTTTTAATTTCCCCCTCTAATTCCTAATTTTCCCCCTTAATTCCTAATTCCCCCCTAAATAAGGATTGGGAAGGGGGGTGGAGGGATTTAATGGGAATGAGGGGATTAAAGGGAGGGGGTTAAAATGCAACAGGAGGAGGAAAAACTGGGAAAAGGGAATGGAAAAAGGGGGGAAAGGGGATGGAAAAAGGGAGGAAAGGGATGGAAAAAGAGGAAAAATTGGAAAAGGGGGGAAAGAAATGGAAAGAGGAGGAAAAACGGGAAAAAGGAATGGAAAAGGAGAAAAATGGAAAACAGGGGTGGAAAAAGGGGGAAAAACAGGAAAAATGAATGGAAAGGAGGGGGGGAATGGGAAAAAGGAACGGAAAGAGGGGAAAAACGGGAAAAGGAAGGGGGAAGGAGAAAAATGGAAAACAGGGGTGGAAAAAGGGGGAAAAACAGGAAAAATGAATGGAAAGGAGGGGGGGAATGGGAAAAAGGAACGGAAAGAGGGGAAAAACGGGAAAAAGGAATGGAAAAGGAGAAAAATGGAAAACAGGGGTGGAAAAAGGGGGAAAAACAGGAAAAATGAATGGAAAGGAGGGGGGGAATGGGAAAAAGGAACGGAAAGAGGGGAAAAACGGGAAAA